GGGTGTGGGTAGTTGTCCTAGTCTTCTGTGACCCAGCGCCTACATCAGGGACTACCACTACCACTGCTGCTGTTTTTAATTCAACCTAAGATTATTTTTTAAAGCTCCCATGGTCTAGAGTTCAGTGCTCTGAGATTTCTCTCTCCCTCTCTCTCTTTGTCACACACACACACACACACACACACACACACACACCCTGGTTGGAGACCACAGCTCCACTTGTAGACATGGCCACCTCCACTGGGTTATAGATGGACCAACAGCAAGGAGCTGAGGGAGGGGAGACCGGGAGGAGGACAGGAAAAGAAACAGGACGTCAGAGACTAGCTCGCTTCTTCTTTAATCATCCATTCAACAAATGTTTCCTGGGGATACAGCAGTAAATACAGGAGGAAGAGAAAAGATAGTACATGTGAAGTCCTCAAACTTGAACAGGCAACAGAATCACCTGGAGGGCTTGTTAAAACTGATCATGGAACCCACCCCCAGAATTTCATGCAGATCCCTAGCTTGTGCTTAGCAAATGGTTAAGTGCACAATACAAGTAGTATTATTGCTAACATTAAAAAGGTCCCCAAACTGGTAAAGCACTACTATAAAGGTGGGAACTGTGTGAGATGTCAATAATTTGGCTCTTACATAAAACTAATTAAAACTATCATAAACGTATTATAACATAAAACAAGGAATTACCTCCATTAAACAGAGTGTTGGCCTCTTCAAGGACCTCTGTTAGTTTGTCGCTGGCATTCAGTATGTCCTCCCGGTTTTCTATTTAAAAAAATGCAGACTTTGGGAAATTTGCTCATCATTCACTAATGAGTAGTGGACAAAGTAGTAAAGCCCTGCCTCGCTCCCCAGGTAATTACTTCAAACGTCCTTATCTTTTAAACCAAAATGGCACGGAAAGAGAAAGGCGACTCTACCCTTAATCTGAACTTTCAGAGGAAACCCTGGCTCCCTCCAACCTTAACCCAAAGGGCTCGACTCTTGCTGCAGCCTCTGAGGAATGCTCCACAACAGAGTGGGTCTCAAACTTTGCAAGCAACACCATCACTGCAGGGCCAAGCGACAGATGGGCGAGGGGCCCCACCCGGAGTCTCAGATTCGCTAGGTCCGGGTGGGGTCCGAGAATGCATTTGTGACAGTTCTCGGGCGACGCTGACGCTGCGGGAATGGCGAGCCCATGTTGAGAGCCGCTGACTGCAATAAAAGCAGCCGGTGCCCGTGTCCCGCCTCTGCCCTGCTGGCTAGCTGAGCCCAGGCGAGTCACCGGACGGGTCTGGCCTCCAGCTGTCCCAGCCTGCCCGTCGAGGACCTGCGCGCCCCCGGCCAAGGTCGTGCGGCCCTGGCGACAAAACGGATGTGGGAGCACTTTGTCAACACGTTGGAGGCGCGGCCCGCCGCGAAGGGCTGTCACCCTGCGCG